CCTACTGTCCAACGCGGTGTTTTACTAAACATGAAAAGCAGTACTGTCAGCATATTAAGCCAAAGCATTGACGCATTTTTAAATTTTACCTGACTATCTGTTTTTGCTACAACAGTCTATTAAAACGCAGCCGTTTTTATGAAAGCGTTTTTTTTATTTTACAGCGAAATTTAGCAGTGCTCAGCTCCTTTTTTTGCGATTCTAGGGGGCTGTCAGTGCTTCCTTGATGGCCTATACAGCACTGATTATTCTAGTATTTTGAGCTTTTTTTGGAAACTTAAAAAATACTTTAAAAATTTATTTGAAAATTTGATACGACGTAATTTTTGTCAGGGACTTTTGGCATTGGAAGGGGAGCTTACCCCGATTTTGATGCAAATGGTCAAGTCGGCAAACACGGATGGCCTTCTGGATGATGATATCAATGCACGAGATTTTCAGCATGAGCTTAAGTGCTATCTTCATTCAGCGTTGCAGGTTTTTGTTTGCGAGAACTACAGCTGAGAAAAGATTTTACACTTTCCTTCTCACAAAATGCTGATATTGAGTTCAGGTTGATCGTGAATGGACGGCCGAAGATCACGAAAATCTCAATCCGTCAGGGATTCGTTCCATGACAAATGCAATGGAATTTATCAAAAATCCTCGAAAAATGTGCGAAGAAATTGCAAGTTATGTGCAACGAATGGTTGAAATAATTCAGTGGCATAAGTGCAATAAAGCAAGTATGTTTTTTTCTTCAAAATAGTGTTTTAGTGCGATTTGTGTTCTGTAACAGCAGTGCAAAACGCATGTTGTCACGGGGTTGTCTGTGTGTTTGTTTTCGCTGCAACTTGTCCGCACTTTTAACTCGGGAACCACAAAAGCTAAGAAACTGGAAATTTAAGGGAACGTTCCCCGCCCATATGTGACCCTGCAAATTTAAATTCAGCCTTGTCCTGCCCACGGGTATCACCAACGATCCTGTGAAGACTTTGGAGGATAAATTACTATTTCGGGGACCACGGAATTTGCGAGGCTGGAATTTTGGGGTAAAATGACCCCCCGCCCACGCTCGATCTTGTAAATTCAAATTCAGCGTTCCCGTGCTTTCGGGTATCACCTGCGGCCCCGTGAAAATTTCTGCGGATAAATTGTCTCGAGAGAAATGGAATCTACGAAGCAGAAATTTTAGGGTGGCATCCCGTGCCAACGTGCGACTTCGCTAATTTTCAACGTCCCCGTAGAGGTTTTGGCAAGAAAAAACATTACCTCGGGAGTCAGAGGTGCTAGGAGGCTGAAAATTCCAGGAAAGTGCTTCCTACCTAACCAGGGGTTTCACAAATTTGAATTCACTTTCTAAGTATGTCAAAGTCTTACGTACGTCTACGTGAAAGCTTTGTCTCAAGGATCATTCGAAAGCCAGAAATTTAGGAGATTGAAATTTTGGAAGGATATTCACCCTTCTAGGTTTCAAATTCAGCCTTTGCGTGCCGGTTTGTGAAAGTTTAACCATTTTTCAGCGTTTCAATTATTTTTGCACAGACTAAAGTGTAAAGCAGTGAAAATCGTTAACGTGCAATCGTTCGGTGAACGGAATTGCACAAAGCTGCACTGGTTACACTGAAAATTGCACTGAATTGCACTGGTTCGCACTGCTATTTATTTCTACTTCTTTGATTGTTTTCGTTTTTATATTTTTATGCTTTTTTATCGAGATCACTAAAGTGATCGGCCACTGGATTATTTCATTCCCATGGTGGGGACAGTTTGTGTAGGGTTTTAGTGTTAGTGGTTTTGTTGGGGCACTCCTACACGCC